CACTGCCCTGCCCCTGTGATTGCCTCTGGTGTTTGGGAATTCTTTTTCTATTGGGAGATTCAAAGAAAAATTTTAAAGCATACAATCTTCAACCTACATTAAAGTACAGTCCCAGGGATAGTCTCAGATGGGAAATATGAATTTGGCGAAAAAGCATCTGAACATGTGGAGTAAATTCGAAAACAGAACCATCTGTTGAATAATCGGATCCAGTAGACTCCACACTTTGTACCACCAGCTGCTGTCAAATAGGAGATTATGAAACCTTGTAATAAGTGCTCCACTAAGCCTGTTTTCTTATTTCAGGGTTAACTTGGGGCAGAGCCGCAAGGCTAGGGGGATGAAGCTCTGGAGTCTTTTTACGTAAGCATTTATTCTAAGTGCGTCTTTCAATCTGGCCATGCACTGTGGATGTAAAAGTGACCCCAAGCCTGATTTGTGAGGTTGGAAGAGGAGCATAAAAAGCAAATTCCACCACTCCTCTGCTCCCTCTTGAGTATGAATTCTCACTTCCTCTCCCGTCTGTCCCAGTGTTTCTCCACCATCTTCCATCCTCTGCTCCTCCATGACCCAGTGTGGTCGGACACTCTCGGACATGGCATGGGAAAAGAAACTGAAACGGATTTAAGGATCACTATTTCAGGGCTTTTTTTCTTGGCTTCTGGCTTTGACCACAGATTCGAAGGAGAATTGTTCAGGCAGAGGAGAGTTCAATAATCCTCTCAGTGAAAAGACAAGAGGAAAAGAAGCTGGAACATTCTTCCCACTTCTACTCCATAACATTTCTTATTTCTTTGGCTCCTCTCTGGCTCCACAAACTCTTGTTCTGAGTAAGTCTTGCTTCCGTTGATGACTGAACTACTCTGAGGGTGGGCAGATAAAAGGTCCCTGTGATTATAGTTCCACAAGACAGTTCAGACTTACGAGAATCTGGAGCAAAGGGTTTATTTAATTCAAGGGCTTCCTTATATCTGGTCAAAACCTTAGAGTCTTTCTCAGTTCCTGACTTTTTCTCATTACCCACATCTCATCCAACAACTAGTCCTTTTGCCTGTGTTCTCAAAGTACATCCCAAAGTCCTCTTCACTCCCTCTGCACCTCTGGCCTCAATGACTGTCTCCTAACTTGTCTTGCTCCACCTCAAGCCTATTTCCAGCCAGTAGCAAGAGGGGTCTTTGAGAAGTTAATTCAAATGGTGTGATTTTCTGCTTCAAATCCTCCAAAGGCTTCTTTGCACCTAGAATAAAGTCAAACTCTACCATGTCCTCTACAATCTGGTCTAACATGATATGATCACTCAAATCTATTATCTCATCTATTATCACTCTTCCCCTCACCCACAACACTTCGGAGACACCAGCCTTCCTGTTTCTCAGATAGGCTATTTTGATTCCTAGCTGGGGGTCTTGCCATTGGTCATCTCTCTACGTTCAGAACATTCTCTCCCTGGGTCTTCCCATAGCTTCTTCCTTCTTGCTCTGACCACCCATGAAAGTAGCTGCCACCTCCTGGTCCCCAAGTCACTCTCTTGTCCTCATCTGGCTTGTTTCCTTCACAGTAGTGAACACAATCTGAAATTCAAAGGCTTATGTATTTGATTATTTGCTTGTATACTGCCTATCTTCCTTCACCCAAATGCAACCTTACTGAAGCCTGAGAATGTTTCTGATGTGTTCACTCCTATGCCCAGGCCAGTGTTTAAAAAAATGCCTTGTGAAATGAATAAATTCCTAGCTGGAGATGCCAGAAAGGGATTTGGGACTGAGGACACTCTCTTTTTAAGGACAATCTCTTTTTAAGGCTTCAAGTTCAGTGATTTCAGAGCATCATTTGAAAATATGGGCCAACATAGTGCTTTTGTCTGACAAATACACACATGTTTATCACCAAGGATAACATACTTAGACAACATACACTCTGTGTGGAGCCTGTTTTCCCACTGACACGTAGCTATGAACAGAGAAACAAACCCCACGTTTGGGAAGTGCCCAATCATTTTCAAAGTGCATTCACCCAACAACTCCCTTTACCCTTTCACAGCAGCCCTGTGAGGTCATCAGAGGAGGAATGACTCCTATTTCACCAGTGTTGAAACTGAGGTACAGTGACACTGAATTCCTACAAGGGTTCAGAGACAGGGAGGGAACTACAGCCCAAGCTTTCTGGCTTCCTACTCTGCCAGGCTGCCTCTCATTATTTCATCTGTTGCTCACAATGTCCTTGGGAGGTTGGAAGGGCAGGGTAGAAATCCCTGTGACATTCCAGTGAAATTTTCACATTACACACATGCATGCCAACCCCGGCTGGGGAACCCCAGTCTGCACCGATCGAACTGGGAAACACGGTTACAAGGGGCTCTCTTAATGCCACACAAGTGGTAAGGCAGGCCCTTCCAAGCTGCTGTTCTGTGTGCAGCACTGACAAAAGATGGACCCATGCGTTCTCCAGTGCCACCTGCCCCAGTATCCAAGTCACAGCCTCTCTGATTCCTCTCTCTCCTTTACCACTGAGCACCCACCTGCCCACTAAGTCTCCATGCAAGGTCAGTTCTCCTTAAAACCATCACCCTTTCTCACACCACTCTTCATCCCTTAGCTGCAAGCAAGACTGCTAGGATTACTAAACTAGTGTGTGACCTTGGCAAGCTCTTTAACTTCTCCATGCCCATTTCCTTATCTGTAAAATGGGGGTAGTAAGTAGCACTGATCTCACAGGAGTGTTATGAGGATTATATCTGTCAATGTCTATAAAGCATTCAGCACAGGGCACAGAGCAGATGCCATGGAGCTGTGAGCTGTAATTATCATCATTAGTCTTTCTAGGTCCTCGTTAACACTCCTCTGGATTCTTGTTTCAGTCTCCTAACAAGACCCTTAACTTATATCTTGCCCACCCCCTCCACTCACCACAGAGTTTCTTAACATATAAAATGGACCATGTCACTCCTCAGTTCAGAACCCTCAGTGGTGTTTCACCGAACTCTGGATGAAATTCAGTTGCTTTATTATAGCCCAAAAGGTCATGGTCTGGCCACTTCATCCTTCTCCCACCTTACCTTATGCCAGTTCTGTTTCGGTAATTTGGTTACAGCCTTACTGGCCCTCTGACAAGTTTCAGAACACACTAAATTCTTTTATACCCCAGATCCTTTGCACATGCTATTTCTGTGTCTTACACTCCTTTCCCTTGTTCTTCATATCCTCTGGTCTCAGCTCAGAGCAGCCTTCCTGTATGCATTATTTGAGAGGGATCAGCCATATTCATGATTTTCTGCCTTGGTCCTCAAATTATTTCTTAACAGCACTTATCAAACTTCCTAATTATTGCATATAATTGTTTCTTTACTTATTTTTGTTGCTCTTTTCTCTCTTCAAAATGAAAATCTTGTGACTGCCAATGAAAAGCCAGTGACTATGTCTATCTTATCACAGAAGTAGAATTTAGAGTAAAGCCCAGGACATATAAGTGCTTCATAAATATTTGCTGAATGAATATTGAAGTTGCATGATCATGACCTAGCCAATATTTTCTCCCCACTTTTGGATAGATGGATGCCAGCATGATGACTGCTATAAACAGTCAAACCCGTTTGAACATGGAGACATGACTTATAGAAATGACAGCATGTGCTCACAGCCAACACTATTTCCAGTCCCATGAATTTTATTTCTCTTGCAGTTTTTGACCACAGCTTCTATTTTAGAAGAATAAATAACATGGAAAAAGTTTCAAAGATGCTTTACGAAACCAGCTTTGAAAAAAAATTATTTCTTGATGCTATACACACACACATACACTTTATATGCATAAAAAGCAAAGCTTCCCAGAGGAGGAAATAAAAAGAGAAGAATGATGGTTGCAGACATATAAATGGATCTGAACAATTGAAATGTCACCCACGAGTTTCACTAAAGAGGAATTAAAGGGAATTTCATTAAATTTCTCCAAGTTTTGATGGGAAGGGAAATGAAGCCTATTAAAATTGGTTGTGTTACTGAAAGTTGAAGCTGTGGCAGTGTGGATGTGTGTGTGTGTGTGTGTGTGTGTGTGTGGTGTGTGTGTGTGTGTGTGTGTGTGTGTGTGTGTGTGTGGTGGAAGAAGGGGAGGTGGGTAGATTATTAAGGCCAGAAAACCTCATCAGCAGTGGTGCAGTCCTGCTGCTTGGCACATGCACTTTGAAGATTTCCCATAAGTTTGTAACCACAGAAAGAGCCAAGTAGCTTGGATGTCTGCCTCCTTCCTCCCGCCCTCCCTCCTTTTCTCCCTTCCTTCCTTTCCCAAATCTTGACTGAGCTTCTGCTATATGCCAGGTGCTTTACCAGGCACTATTAAATCAAAGCTGATAAAGACCTAGTCCCTGCACTCAGGGGACCCACTTATCTGTAGAGAAGGAAGTTGCTTAAACAAGAAGTGAGCCCAAACATCACAACTACAAAGGGAGATACAAACTACAAGGGCAGCATGATAACTTTTATTTAGGGGCAGCTAGAGTACTGGGTTATGGTCAGGAAGGCTTCTCAGTGGTGGTGACAACTGCACTGGGCTTTGTAGTTTCCATGGGAGTTGGTGCATTATCAGGTGAGGACAGGCATGCCGTTTGGTGGTAAGAGCCAGGGCAGAGATCCTATACTGCCATCCTGCGTCCTTCAGCTCTACCGCGTTTGTTCACGCATCCCTCTCTTCATCTCCGCATCCCCCCTCTTCCCCCCAAAACTTCCCCCTCGGACAGGCACTGCAAAATCAACCCACATCTCTGCAGTTCAAGGAAAGCACACAGTCTCCAAGTACGAAGCTTTGCTGCTTCCTGGCTGGGTGTCTCGAAGCAAGCTACCTGACTTCTCGGGACCCAATTTCCTCACTGGTAAAATGACAATGAACGTATTACCGACCCACCTTACAAGATTATGTGAGCACGGTAGACAGAAGATAGCAGTGCGTGTAAAGCTGCACTTGCGCTTGAGAGGACCTTTATTTAAAAAAAAAAAAAAGTCTGTACTCACAACTGCAAAGCAGCAACCAGGAGCGAAGGCCTACGCTGCCTCAGGTGGATGACAAGGCCCGGAGCGTTCCCCTCCTCAGACGCTGGAAGGTTTAACACCCAGAATGCCCTTCGGGAGGCGCTCGCCGAGCCTTCAGTCCACGCATGCGCCTCGCTCTGACGCGGACTCCGTCGCCCCGCGGTCACGCCGCCCTGCCCTGGACGCGCATCTGCCCAGGATCACACTGATGTCAGGGGAAGCCGCTCTGACTCCGGCTCAGGCGCAACCTGACACTGGGGTTTTCTTTCACCAGCCGGCGAGAAAACATGTGGGATGAATTAACGACGCCAACTAGGGAAATCAACAGCAGGCGGACTTCAATCGGCCCCCAGACAAGGGAGCGGGGTGGGCGCCCGTGGGCCCTGCACTGCGAGGGCCTCAGAGCACGCCCGGCCTCCTCCCGCCCCCAGAGTTGCTCTCTGGTCAGCCCTCCGGCCCAGAGACGTGGGATTTGAACCCAGCTAGTCTGGTTCCCCACTAAGGAATTGATGGCGGAGAGAAAGGAGTCACAGTGAACAATATAGACCGAGACCGCATAGAAAGAGCAGGCTCAGACCTCCGCTTCACGTTTGCGGGAAAGCAGTACGAGGGAGCTAGTCTGGGAGGAGGGTCAAAGCCTTACAGCTCATCTTCACGGTCTGGCAAAGTTAGGGCTGGGAGACTGTGCACAGTCAAGGAACAGAACACCTGTAGCTGGAAATGCTCCATCACACTTGGAAATGGCTCTTTTTCCACCCCACACTTGCCCACAGGTAAGTCTTTGTCCTTTACAGTTAAGCAGTAGCTGCTGCCAGCCACACATTTCTCTAGGGGGAACAGAACCAAATTCTGGAGTCACTACTGCTCCTTCCTCCCCTCATCATCCAGTGTCCAGTATCTTCAGCCCCATCTCCTCTCTTCCTCTGGCTGCCCTGATCAAAGGCAGGTTCTCTGTGGAGATACTTCCTGCCTTGGTAGGTGATGTCCAGTTTGAAAAGTACAATCAGTGCTTACAGGTGTCTGCCAGGTGCTACATATACTGGATGTGGAACATCCCCTCCTTCAGAGGGACACGATGTAAGAGGCTGGTGAAGGAGAAAGGAGGATGAGAAATAGGATGCCCCATACCTAACAAACTACGTGAAACAAGGAGAGATGCTGGTTGCTGTTTCTCCTAACTAAAGACTGCTGTCTTAAATCGGTCTGGCAGACAGCCATGGCTTAGGTGCTTTTGTGACATCCTGCTGCTTTTGGCCAAGTGAAATGGATTTCTCTCTTCCTTGGGGAGACATGTTTATTTCAAACAGGCTTGAGAGGAGAAAGCTAAAAGTTTTAAAAAAAGGTTAAGTATAACTGGCATTGAAATGGAGTCTTGGATAACCTTTGGAAATTCCAGTGTGATTATTACCTCTGCTCACATCTGAGTTCCACACCCCTCTTTCTTGCCAGAGCATGCTTCTAGCATTTTCCTGGCTCCCCCAGTTTCCCTCTGAAGGTGACACTTCACAAGGCCATCTTCACGTCCTTGTCTCTGTGACAGATGGCCGCCATCATCCGTCCTCCCTAGGAGCTTCCAACGTCTGGGCACACTTAATTAGGCTGTGAGATCAGAATGGGGGAAGGAACACCAGGGTCGCTGCCAGCTAACTGATGTCGTGAGAGGTGGACCACTGGGAAAAGTGTTCCAAGAAGGAGCAACCATAGGCTTGGGCAAGTTCTCCCAGGTACTGTCTTTACGGGACCCCAGCCACTGTAAACAGTGGATTTTCAGTCACACAGGGCTTCCTTTCTTCCTTTTTCCCCCCTTTTAATTGTGGTAAAGCATGTGTAGTATGGAATTCACCATTTCAACCATTTTTAAGTGCATATAGCTCGATGGCATTAAGTACATTTACGTTGTGCATTCATCACTACCATCCATCTCTAGAACTTTTTCACCATCGCAGACTGAAATTCCATACCCATTAAAGACTAATTGTCATACTCCCTCACCCCAGCTCCTGGCAAGCACCATCCTGTCTCTGTGAATTTGACTGCTGTAGGAACCTCATACAAGTAGAATCACCGACTATTTGTCCTTTGTGTTTTTGGCTTATTTCACTTAGCAGAATTTATTTAATTTATTGATATCACATTCAATAAATACAGGTTTGCATTGCATATGGAAAGTGGTGAAAGCCCTTATAAAAATAGGATGTTGTGCCTGCTTTTCTGCATTTTGGCTTTGTCACTCAGCATTTCCTCATGGAATTCCCTCCAAATCAAGTGGCAAGTCGATCTTTGTAATGGCTTAATCCGTGGTTTGACTGTGCTATAATTTATTCAACCACCCCTTCTTGGTGAGCATTTGGTTTTCCTGTGCTTCACATGGCAGCCTAAATGCCACTCATGGATTGTGACTCGGCTTCTGAACGCCCTCCAGAGGCACCCTTCCTCACGCAAAATGTGATCCAAAAGCCTCACAATGGCCTTCGAGGCCCTCAGTGATTTCTCCATTCTCACTTCCTCACCATCCTCTCTGTCCCAGTATTCTCTGCCTTGCTCACTCTGTTCTAGCCACACTAGCTTTCTTGATGCTCCTCAAGCCTGACATGGGCACTTCCACCACTGGCCCTTTGCACATGCTATTCTCTCAGCTCTGGAACATTTTTCACAGCTATCTGCACAGCCCACTTACTCACCTTCTCCAGGACTCTCTCAAGACTCTATCTCTAGCTTCCATGTCTAAGTAAGCAACTCCCCTTTCCCCTTGCATTCTGTATCTCCCTTCCCTTAATTTTTCCCTCTAGCATTTATCACTCATTTTTTTTTGTTTATCTGACTCTCCCATTTGACTGTAGACTCTACAGGGCAGGAATCTAACTGTTTTGCTCAATTCTGTATCCTCAGTATCTCCAACAGTGCAATAAATATTAACTAACTGGAACAATGATGCTTGAATAAATGAACAAACAAAACTACATAGATTAATGTGGGATGTGGACCATCATGGGACACAGAATAGCATCTAATCAGAACAATAACAGAGATAGTTTTCATCACTCTATCAAATTAGTTTCACCAAATTCCTAGCGTGGAGGAATTGGTCATAACACTGAAATTGCATTGTATTTGAGGCTTACATGTTAACCACAGATACACACACACACTTAGCTATTCACTGAACTATAAAAAGCTTATTCCATGAGATAGGTCAACCAGTGTTATCCTGGTTAAATCCAGACTCACATCCATCTGGTCCCCATTATAGACAGCTTTGTATCCAGTAGGTTATAAATGAGCAAATGCTGTGATAGAATGGCACAGTAGCTGAGAGTGCTGGTTCTGGGGTCTGACTCCCTGGGCTTGAACCAGCTCTGCCAACTACCTCTGTGTGAACTTGGGACAAATTACCTAACCTGTCTGTGCCTCAGCTTCCTGTGTGTCCAGTGCAAATGAGAAGAGTATCTACACCAAAAGCTTCTTGTTACTATGGTTACCAAAGGGGAAAGAGGAAGAGGGATAAATAGGAGTTTGGGATTAACAGATACACACCACTGTATATAAAATATATAAACAACAAGGACCTACTGTATGGCACAGGGAACTATATTCAGTTTCCTATAATAAGAAAATTCATTGTACACTTTAGATTTGTGCACTTTTCATGCCTGTGTTGTGCTTCAATAAAAAAGTTTAAAAAATGAAAAAAACAGATGAAGATGTAAAAAGCATTATTTTAAAATAGATTTTATTTTCACCCATATGATATGATTTATTTTGGTGAAAAAAATCTAACAGTGTACAATTATTTTTCAAACCTTCATTTTAGATTTCATAAAACAATTTAAAAATCTTATTTAAAAAATTTCTTGTTGCATGGGGCAAATGAGTTAATACAAGTAAAACACTTAGAACAGAATTTGGCTCATAGCACACATTCATAATTATTATAGAGGTTAAGAACACAAACTCCAGAGACAGACTGCCTGGGATCCAATCTAGGCTCTGCTACTTACTAGCTGTGTAAACCTGAGCAAGTCACTTAACCTCTCTGATTCAGTTTCATCACCTGTAAAATGGGGATAATCACAGTGTCTCCTCCCGAGAGTGTCATGAGAATTAAATATGTTGATATGTATAGAACCTAAAGTAACATCTTTGACCCATGTTAAGTGCCATAAATCATGTAGATGTTTCTTGTCATCATCACTGTTATCATCATCATCATATGTGTAGCCCAGATTCTGAGTTACTGAGATGAAACAGCAGACATAAAACATCTCTCACATAAGAGCACTTAAGGAACACCTGTCCTTTCAGAGCCTGCACACAGGTAGTTCTATGCTTTTCCCAGCAGACTTGGACCTGGCATGTATCCCAAACTGCTGCCCCTCCTTTTTCTCTACATCCACAGATTTATCCAAGTCGTCTATGCTCCCAAAGCACCTTGTCTTTGTCTGCAGTTCACCTTCCCTGGCTGGAGGTACTGCAAGTCCCCAAAGCTGTGACCATCTCTCACCAGAAGGTGCAGAGGAGACAGACCAGAAGGCCTGAGGAGGTGGATGGTTCACCACAGGGCCCAGAGAAGAGGACAGAGGTAAGAACTGAAAAGCTCACTGATAATGTCTCTATCTCATGTCTTTCTCTGTAAAGTGGGTTAATCACCACACTGCCTCCATAGAGTCACTTTGATTGAATGAGAGGAAGGATGGGAAAAGCTTAGCCTGGTGGCTGGCACAAAGAGCAGTGATGGGGAGGAGGATGAGTGGGAGAATGCAAGTGTGCTCGGGCACTAACAGAACAGCATGTGAGCATTGCAGGGGTGAGGTGGGGGCGCTGTAGTAAATTGCGTCACCTGCTTCTCCTCCCTAGGGTGGATTATACTTGCCTGCTCCATGGATCTTGGGTTTGTGACTTTTTTAGCTAATAAAATGTGAACGAATGATGTGGTACCTCTGGGCAGTAGCTTTCAGTGTCAGTGTATGGTTTGCCATACTCTCCTGTCCCTGCCTCACCCACCATAGAGCATGTTTTAAGATGGAGTCTCCATCAGCCTGGAGGGCTGAATACTGTGATCAGAGTCCTTTTGCCAGACTGCAACTGACATGTAACACATATGAGAAATGCATTTTGCTTTAATCCACGAAAATGTTTAATTTTTGATTGTGTCAGCCTAAAAGCATTTTGGTGTTGCTGGAGCCTGAAATCAAGGAGGAGAATGTCAAGTGATGTGTGTGGTGGGGGCTGGAGGTCAGATCAGAGCCCTAGCATTCTAAGGGTCTTGAGCTTTGTCCTGTAAATTGTTAGGGAGGTGCCTCAGTCAAGCCCTCCTGCCCTTGAGGGGCCCACAGTCCTGGGAAACATTCTTTGTGTGGTGCCTGATCAAGGGTCACGTAACAATAACCAGCTCCAAAATCCTCCATGCCTCCTTTTTTGCCAAAAGATAAACTCAAAACACTTTCATCTAGCATTTAAAGACCCATATACATGGCCCTACTTACCCTACTCCTTAGCAACATGGATTGCCCACGATAACCACAGTGTTCTACTTTACTGTCTGTGGAACATGTTTTGGCAACCCTGTACATTTCAGCCTTTGTTCACGTCTTTCTCTCCCACTTGTGTTGGGCCTCTTCTCCTTCCAGTCTTTCAAAGTCCCAGTAGAAAGTTGCAGACCTTTGAGGGATTGGAGCTCTAGTCAAAGTTCATTTAATGACATCATGGAAACTGTGTTACCAGTTTTTTAAAAATTCTCTTAACCACTCTGGTCCTCATCAGTAAAAGATTATTGGACCAGATGCTCTTGAAGGTGCTTTTCATAACGCTTAGGATTTTACATTCCATTCAGCCAAAGTAACTCTTCCCACCTCTAAACTCCTTTTCTCCTTATTTTGCACATTTAAGATGTGGTCTTATGTTATCCAGTGTAAATGCCTCTCCCACCTCCTCCCTCTTCCTGAACCCCTCCCTCTAACCCAGAGAATTTGCAGTCTTTGATGCACTCATATTTCTCAGGAGAACCTCTCTTCTTGAAGCCTCACATTTCCATATGGAGGAGCCTCCTTAGTTAACATTCCTGGTCTTTCTTGGTGCCTCCAGTCATTTCTCCCCTGGGATAAATGACTATCCTGAATGGTATTTGGAAAAAGGAACCGAATATCCATGGCTCAGCCCTCTCTGAGTGGTTCTCTTTTGTGATCTGTCTGCGAAGGACGCATTTGGCCTTCTCTCTGCCATTAGATCTGGAGTTGCCCCTGTGGAAGAGGCCTGTCATTGCCAGTATTAGTTAAGATTAAGTTTGGCTGAAAATGACAGAAAACCGCAAAAGACTGGTGTTTAAGTCAAATAGAAGTTTATTCTTTATCTTATGTAAGTGAAATCCAGAGTTAAGCAGTTCAGGGCTAGCGTGGCACTTTATTACTGTCTTGGTCAGCTTAAGCTGCTGTAACAAAACACCATAGGGTGGGTGGTTTAAACAACAGAAATTTATTTCTCACGGTTCTGGAGGCTGGGAAGTTCAAGATCAAGTCCAGTTCCATTTCTGATGAAGGTCTTCTTCCTGGTTTACAGATGCCTGCCTTCCAGCTATGTTCCTCCAGGGCAAAGAGAGATCATCTCTCATGTCTCTTTTTATAACAGCACTAACCTCATTCATGAGGGGCTCCACCCTTATCACCTAATTACCTCCCAAAGGCCCCAACTCCAAATATCATCACATTGGGAGCTTAGGGCTTCAATATATGAATTTGGGGAGGACACAAACATTCAGTCCTTGGCCCCCTAAATTCATGCCTTCCTCACATGCAAAGTCCATTAACTCCATCCCAACAGCCCCCAAAATCTTACCTTATTCCAGCGTCAACTCTAAAGTCCAAAGTCCAAAGCCTCGTACGTGTATCATCTCAATCAGATATGGGTGAGACTTGAAGCACATTTCATCCTGTGACAAAATTCCTCTCCAGCTGTGAACCTATGAAACCAAACAAGTTACGTGCTTTCAAAATCCAGTGATGGGACAGGCATAGGATAGACATTCCCATTCCTAGAGAAATGGGAAAGAAGGAAAGGGTGACAGGTCTCAAGCAAGTTCAAACTTAGCAGGGCAAACTCCACGAGACCTTAAAGGCTCAAGAATAATTCTCTTCAGCTTGATGCTCTGCCTTCCTGACCCACTGGGGCAGTGATCTTGCCTTCTAGACCACTCTCAGTAGCAAAATCTGTATTAGTCGGAGTTTCCAGAGAAAAAGGGCCAGAGAGACAGACAGACAGACAGACAGACAGAGAGACAGAGAAACAGAGAGAGACAGAGAGAGAATTGGCTAAGAAGTCTCATGATCTGCTGTCTGCAGGCTAGAGATAATAGGAAAGCCAATGATGTAGTTCCAGACTGAGTCCAAAGGCCTGAGAACCAGGACAGTCAAGGGTGTAAGTCCCAGTTGGAGTCTGAAGACTGATGTTTCAGCTCCAGCAGTCAGGCAGAGATATCAGATTCTCCTTTATGCTACCATTTTTGTTCTATTCAGGCCCTTAACAGATAGGATAATAATCACACCTGTATTTGAGAGGGCAAGCTGCTTTACTGAGTCCATCAATTCAAATGCTGATCTCATCTGGAAACACCCTCACAGACACACCCAGAAATAATGTTTAGCCAAATATTTGGGCATTCCATGGCCTGGTAAAATTGACACACTAAATCAGCCATCAAAATGGTCATCCGAAAAGCAGACTTTTTTCCTCTTATTATCCATCATTGTCAACATGTAGTTAGAACCCAGTGGTGCAGTATGGCTTCTTGAGTTCCAGCCATCACATCCACCTTTCAGTCAGCAGGAAGAACAAAGGGGATAAAGAAAGACTTTCCTTTAAGGACACTTCCTAGCACACACCACTTCAAGACACTCACTGCTTAAATTACACTGGATCGCACTTAGTCATATGGCCATACTGAGCTGCAAATGAGGCTGGGAAATATGGTCTTTATTCTAGATGAGTATGTGCCCCACTATAACCTAGGAATTCTATTACTAAAGAAAGAGGAATTGTATGCTGGCTACCTAATTCATAAGAGAAATGGTATTAAGCCGACTTAGCTGTGGTTTAGAACCACATTCTCAGTATACCAGTCATGGAGGAGAAATATGGATCTCTTTTCGCCTGCTTCTTATGTGGCTGCCTCAATTGTTTCCAGCTCAGAAGGGGAAAAAGGGATTTATTTACTGAAACCCAATACTGTCAACATATCATAGCAAATCAGTTGAGATGGTAAACTGAGTATATCTGCCCCAATTTTGTTCTGGAAGCAAGGTACCAATGCACTAAAGAAACACGTTCCATCCCCCCTCCCAGTAAAAACATTGGAAATAATTACAGATAATATGAGTATGGAAATATGAACAGTTTTCTATACAAGACAAGCAGCTTATGAGAATAGCATATAGCAATATTAAGAGACTGCTTTGGAAGAAGTTAAACAGAAAAATATTATCTTCTTATTTCTACCCATTCAGTTATGAAATCAAAGAAAGATGCTAGCCACACATTCCCAAAGAGCAGGGGGCTGATAGTGAAAGCTTATTTAAGTGTCTTGTAGCTTTTTTAAAATTATTAAAGTGAGGCTAGAGCCAACTTAATACTGAATTATGATGATATTTTTACATGAAGAATTGTTAGGTACATGTTACTTTACACATTAGATAATACTAGGTACATATTTGTTAGATATATATTTTATGTTAGATACAAACAAATCTATTACTTCTGATAAAACACATTGAATAATAAGTAAGATTCCTTCTCTTATTCATCATTCATTTCATGATTCATTTCATGTCACACACACTTCATTTTTGACTGATAAAGTACATCGCAACAGGCTTTGTGAGACTTATAATTATTGAGGCTATTTTTGTGCTGCTATTCACTGCCTTTTCTAGCTTCTCTGCATTAATAATCAGCTTTTCCTCTTCATTATTCAGTATCCAACCAAAGAGAACTGGTGTCAGCCAATCAGCATCTTGGGTGATGACTCATTTGTATTCAGAAGCTTAAAAATATTAGGTCCTTATCAACAAAACTTAAGCCTGCTGTTATACACTAGGCTCTGAGCTAGGTTGGGGATATAGTGAAAAATAAGATATGTTCCTGCTAAAAACTGAAATGCAAGATTACATAGCTGCTAAGATTCCTTCCAGGAGAGGTTTGTATGTTAATACAAAATAATTACTGCCACTGATGTCACAGCTAACAAGCTGCCTTTTTTACACTGAGCTCATTTGAGCTGCAAGGCAACCTCAAGAGAGAAGTGTCTCCATTATTAACCCTGTTTACAGACCAGGAAACTAAGTCCAAGGTGAAAACTAGCCCCCACATCAAAATTGTTTTTAAAAGTCCCACTCCATATGTTCTTCAATTCTGGAATTCCTTCCAGAAATTCTGAATAAGAGTATGAAGTGTTTTCAAAGAGTGGTGCCTGAATTTCTAACATCAGAATTATCTGGGGCACTTGTCTAACAGGCAGATTCCTGGGCCCCATCTCAGACTGACTGAATTCAAATCCTGAGAGGGGTCCAGAGAAGTGGCAGCTTAACAGACTCCCCCAGGTGACTCTCCAGCTGTCAGCAGTTTGAGATCCACCAGAGTAGGCCTTTCACAGACAGAACAGGAAGGATAGGACATTCCAGGCAGGGAGACGTGTACAAGCCAAAGTTTGGAATTATGGACAGTCACGGCAAACACAGAATCCACAGCAGACCAAAATTATCCATTTCATCAATTTCTAGACTATGTCATAGACTATCCACTGAGTTGAAAATCTTAAAGGAGGGGCTGAAATGATTTCTAAGCCCTCAATGCCCTGGTCTCTGTGACACCTCCAGCTTCTTCAATCAGATGCAGGCTGCAGCGGCTAGTAGGTCAAAAGTCTGCCTCTCTTGAAACCAGGGACACTTAATTTAATCCCAGACACAATCTGCTGCTGGCTACAAAGATTGTCTCACTGAGTTACACCCAAGTCCTAAACAAACTGTGTATGGTAATTATCAGAGTACTGGACTAGAAGCCAGGAGACTCGGGTTCAAATCCTGTCTCAGCCATTGTACTCATTATCTCTTTGCAAGTCACGGGACTAGCTTAATTTTATAGAGGAATTTCTCGTAAAGACATGGGCGTCTCATGGGTCCCAAAGGCAGATTCAGGCCTCTAGAAAGACTATTCTGTCTATATTATTCTTCCTTACCTTGCTAGACACACCTGTTCATTTTTCTTTGCTTTGCTAGAGTAGCTTTTTCTGCTGCCCTGTTTACAGGATGGAACACAGCTGCCCCTCTGCTCCCAGTAATAGCTAACAATCACTGTTCACTTACTTGGATCAGACAGTATTCTAAGCTCTTTATAAGTATTGTATTTAATCATTACCACAATTCTTTGTAGTAAGACTGCCATGATTGCCCCCTTTATACAGATGAAGAAACTGAGACACAGAGAAGTCAAGTAACTTTCTCAACGACACACAGCTAGTTCTGTTATGGACTCCAGGCGGGCCAACTCAGAGTCAGTAGACTTGTGTTCTGCCTCGCATTCTTTCATATAACATATAAAGGTTTAATGGCTATCTCTCTGTCTGATTTCGTATTTCCAAGTAGAGCCAGATTGTCCCATATGGCAGGGGGTCCCATCACACAGTATGATCATTAATGAGAGGGCTGTGTTCATGGAAGTGAAGTCCTGAGGAAGCCCCTGTGCTTCCTACAAAAGCACCTTCCATGCCTGCTAATCCAACCAAGGGATTTTCTACAGGTCCCTTCTCATCTTTTGGATTTTAGGTTCTCCTACCATAAAATGAAGGTGTTCATCCTGCTCAGTGTTTTCCAGATGTGTTCCATGAAGTACTGTGCACAGAAAAGCTTTGTGGTCCATTGGGAAATGCTGTTTACTCTATTCCTCTCTTGGATACTCACAATGAAAATGGCTCCAAAAAGGCCATTGATGAAGATAATTGCTTAACCTTAATGCAGCATTTCCCAAATATATTTGACTACAGAAACTCTCCCCCATCCTTTGTACAGACTCTGAACCTCTGCTTTATGGTAACTATAGTAGAGTTCAACTAGAAATGCTGTCAACTACCCACCACAACCCTTCATGTCCACCTACAGCTGTGTCCCTCCTCTCCTCCTCCTCTCTGGTTCCAATAGCAGAGGTACCCTTTCTCCTTTCAAAGGCTCGTGGGTCTGGATTCCATTCCCTCCTGCCTTTTCAGCAACCTTATACTATCCATTTCATATTTCTTTCTCTCCCTTCCTCTATCTCTGTCTGTCCTGTATTTCCAAACCTCTGCTTCCTGCCCCACTTAAACCATTTAAACATGGTAAAATGTCTTTCATCCCAAAGGAAAACTTCCTGGTCCTCACTTCCCTGTCCAGATATCTCCCCTCCCTGCACAGCCAAAATTCTCCAAGAGGAAACTACTCTGTCCCATGTCTTCTCCCATGCATTCTTCAGGCCTCTCCAACCTGGCTTCTGACCCCAACACAAATCACTTCCAAAATGGTTCTTGCTGGGATCGCCAATGGCTTCCATATCACTAAATCCAAAGGACAATATGTGGGTCCTTATCATCCATCTTCTCTCAACAGCATACACCATACTGCAATAACTGGTCCCAGTGCTTTCCATACTAGTCTTTTCCTATCCTTTCTGCAGATCCCAGCTAGACTTTACCTCTACTTAAAGCCTTGTGGTAGCTTCCTGGTGCTGTCAGGATAAAACCTGAAATCCTTAGCATGTCCTACAAGATCCTGCCTCATTTAGTTCCTGCCCTCCTCCCAGCCTCACCTCCATCCACACTGCCCCTTGCTCTCTTGGCACAGCTTGCATAGAGATGAGGAATGCTGATAAACATTCTGCAGTGCACAGGACAGCTCCCACAATAAAGAATTACCCCCAAATGTCATTGGAGCCAATGTTGAA